GTTAGCAAGCGTACGATACGAACTTTTCGTTATCACGAATCAATTCAATCTTTTTCGAAAAGGTCAATGTACGCTATTCCACTATTGCAAATAGACAAATGCGCTGTTTCATCACAGGTGACCGGTCAATTTATCTCAGAACAGTGCGTCGCGGGTTATTCATTTTTTGTTATTTTTTCTGCGATGAATAGACCGCCGACGAATTGGTCTATTACCGCTTCAGACTTCTCACTGCTTTTTCTTTTTCCGCACACACGCATATGTTCGTCTGTTCATTATATAGAGGTTTTCTTTGCTGAAGGGACCAAACAAAGCGTTCATTGTTCAGATTAAGGAGGTGTTCATTATGTAGAGGTCCATTTCCAGCAAAAATGGATCGGAAGACCGAAACATGTGTTCATATAGGAGGTGTTCATTATAGGAGGTTTTACTGTATCTAAAAGTAGAAAAGGTACGTATTTATATTGTGGCCTGTGTCAGACAGCAGAGTACAAAGATATAGCCCATCAATCTACACAATGGTTAAGCGTGTGACTCTTCATCAGCAAGTGAAGAAAATTAGAATTACACACATACTTTCTGTGACGGGCAAAGGATGCCCGTGAGTCTATTGACTGATGAAACAACACACGAACATGAGTATATATAGCTACTCAGAGAGGAGAGAGAGAGAAAGAGAACAGGCAATCAGTGCGATACAAGAGAAAGATGAAAAGATAGCAATGAACTACGCTGATGCACAGCAGAGCGTCCGGCAAACGAAGAGATGAGTCATGTGGCGGTTCCGCCACACTTTCTTTTTCCTTTCTTTCACGTGAAATTGCTTTATTTACATAAAGCGCACTTGAATCGCTGCTTTCATCTGCGCAGAAAAAAACGAACAGCAAATGAAGAATTGCGTATCTTGTTCGTCATCGGCAGTTGGTTTTTTTCCAACTTGCAAAAAAGTCGCACACAGTTAATGCTCGGATGAAAGGATACTGAATCAATACATGTTGATTAACATGCTATGGCTTCTCGATGTTTTGAAAGAAAAGCATTATAGTTTTGGAAAAAAGCATTTCGCCTTTTCCTTTGACAACATACCTTTGATAATAAGCAACACACATATTTTTATATAAATCAGTCACGTACTGCAGTGAGAGCGGCAGGCTGTTGTTCTTCGCACCTACTTCGAAGAAATTTAAACAAGATCTTAACAAAAGATGGCATCAATGAGAAAGAATTGCTGCATTCACCATTAAACAAGAGTGCGTATAGTTGCTAAAGTGAGTGACGTTTGGTTCGAAAAATTCCAAAGCCCTTATCAGTATTACACTTTGTGACGCCAGTAAATCGAAGAGCCTCTCCAGAAAAAAGTGGCACCATGTCTCAACAAAGTACTACCAATTTGACGAGACAGTCGCTCCGACGTAGCATCGAGAATTTTATTGTTATTTGGCTCGACGAAACTAACATTGAATTCAATGCAGAATATCGAAAGTCGATCGCTCGACTTCGATGTATTGTCAACGTCATCTACACATTTCGTGACGCTAATGAGTGTGTAGACTTCCTTGCAGAAATTAAAGATCAACAGGTATTTATGATTATTTCGGGTACTCTAGGTCAACACATCATATCACTCATTTATGAAATAGTTCAACTTCATTTCATATATGTCTTTTGTGATAACAAGATGGACCACGAACTTTGGGCGAGCGAATGTAGCAAAGTGAAGGGAGTTTTTACAGAGATGGAGCCAATTTACACCTCTTTCAAAACAGATATTCGAGAATGTGAAAATAATTCGATGCCGATCAGTATCCTTTCTTGCACTGATGCTTTAAATCATGATCTAGATGATCTCGATCAATCGTTTATGTATTCGCAGTTGCTCAAAGATATCCTTCTTGAGATCAAATCTGACGATGAGACGAAGGAAAAACTTGCTGATTTTTGTCGCCTTCAGTATTCTGAGAGCCCCAGTCAGCTGAACATTATTGGCGAATTTGAGCGAGATTACCAACTTCAGTCACCCATCTGGTGGTACACTCGAGAGTGTTTCACTTACTGGATGCTCAATCAGGCGCTGCGAACACAAGAGATTGAGACTATCATCAAGATGGGATTCTTCATGCGTGATATCCATCGGCAAATCGAGGATCTTCATAACAAAGGGTTCCAGAATCGATGTCTAACGACTGTTGATCGAGTCAAGGCATGTTCAAAGATGATTTTGAGAAGTTGTTAAATCGCCGAGGAGGTCTCCTCTCATTCAGCAGTTTTCTCTCGACAAGCATCGATCGGCAAGTCGCTTCTCTTTATGCAGACAGCGCTCGTAGCAATCCCAGTTTGACTGGAATTCTCTTTCAAATCGAAATCAATTCGATACGATCATCTACTCCGTTTACTTGCCTAGACAAGATCAGTTATTTCTCAGAAAAGAATCAGAATCAGGACGATGAAAAGAAAATTCTCTTCTCAATGCACGCCGTTTTTCGCACTGGCGACATTCAACAAATTAACCATCGACTCTGGCAAGTGAAATTATCATTAACTAGTGACAATGACGAACAGTTGATGCGTCTCACTGAGTACATACGAGCAGAGATTGGCAGAGGACCAGGCTGGCACCGACTAGGAGGATTACTGATTAAAATTGGCGCGTTCGATAAGGCCGAAGAAGTCTACCAGACATCGCTCGATTCAATTCACGATGATAGTGGCGTGGAAGCTGCTCTTATTCATCATCAGCTGGGACACATTCATACACAAAAGTGAAATTACTCGAATGCACTCTCATTTTTTCAAAAGGTACTTGAACTTTAAGGAAAATTTCTTTCTTTCAACCATCAATTACTGGGTGACACTTACAACAACATCGGTCTCATCCATAAGTCAAATGGGGACTACTCGAGTGCACTCACATTTTATCAAAAGACACTTGAAATTCAAGAAAAATCTCTCTATCGCAATAATTCTGATTTGATTAATATTTACAACATTGGTCAAGTACATGCCTCGATGGAAAACTACTCGAGTGCACTCTCATTCTATCAGAAGACACTTGATATAGGACAAAAGTCTCTTCCTTCTAATCATCCAACACTGGGTATCATTTATGGAAATATTGGTATCGTCCATTTATCAACGGGACATTACGCGAATGCACTCTCCATCTATAAAAAGGCACTTGAAATTCAGCAGAAATCTCTCCCTCCCAACCATTCTTCATTGGCTACCACCTATGGCAACATTAGTGAGGCGTATCGATTTAAGGGAGAATACTTTAATGCACTGTCATTTGCTGAAAAAGCACTTGAAATCCCACAAAAATGTCTCCCTCCCAAACACACTTCACTCGCTACCACCTATCAAACCATTGGTCATATCCATCAATCGAATGCAGACTACCCGGCTGCACTTTCGTTTTATCAAAAGGCACTTGAAATACAACAAGAAACCCTTTCCTCCAATCATCCAGATCTGGCTCACACATACTACAGCATAGGTCTTATCCATCAATCGAATAGAGACTACTCAACTGCACTTTCGTTTTGTCAAAAAGCACTAGAAATACAACAAGAAACTCTTCCTTCCGATCATCCGAATATAGCCAGTACATACAATACCATAGGGCTGTCCTCTGAATCGATGGGAGACTACTCGAGTGCACTCACATTTTATCAAAAGGCATGCCAAATTCAAGAAAAATCTTTCCCCTTCAATCATCCATCACTAAGTGCCACATACAACAACATTGGTCTTATCTATCAAGCAAATAGAGACTACTCGAGTGCCCTCACATTCCACCAAAAGGCACTTGAGATCGGACAAAAATCTCTTCCTCCCAACCATCCTTCATTGTCTATAATGTATGGGAACATTGGTCTCGCCCATAAATCAATCGATGGGAGACTATTCGAGTGCACTCTCATTCTATGACAAGGCACTTGAAATCCAACAAAAGTCTCTTCCTCTCAAACATCCTGCACTTGCCATTACCTACAACAATATTGGCGAGGTACGTCGATCACAGGGAGACTACTTGGTTGCGCTTTCATTCTACCGAAAGGCACTTGAAATCAAAGAGAAAGTTCTGTCTCATAATGATCCTTGCTTGGCTATCATTTATAACAGCATGGCATTAACACATGAAGATTTGGGTCAATACTATCTGGCGGTCCAATACAGTGAGCGTGCTTCTCGAATCGCTCTCGACGCACTGGGATCTAATCATCCTCAGACGAAGATTTTACAAGATAACCTTGATAGAATACGTAAAACACTATGACATGTGTCTTTCAAACTGTACTCGTTAATTGCTCAATAGCATCTTATAGGATATCTAAAAATAATTGTTTGTCTTGACTCATTCCTTTCAGAAAGTTCTCGTTCGCTAGTGTTCAATCTTTCAGTTCTATACTCTCTGGAATAAAAGAACTTTGCATTACATCTAACAATGGAAGGTCGTCAAGTGTTGAGCGCTGATCGAGCTGATATTTTGCCCATAAATAAGACTCAATGAGACTAATAGAAGTCTAAACGGATTCGTGCGTATGCCCTACTCATCTAGAGTTATGATCTCTTTAGTGAGTTTTCGTCCTCTGGATATGGCATTCATAAGAGATCGTCTTACGAACTGTTGACCTGAAGTTTTGCTCATAGACAGTCCTCGAGACCATTAGAATGTCCTAAAAATTTCAGATCAAACGAAAGTTTTCTTCTCGAGATAACGGGTGGTCGGAAAGTTTTGGCACAAAAGTAAAATTTGTTCCACCTATTTTTGACTGTATTTTGGTGCACGTTGTCGCTTGTAATGTTTTAAGCCCAGTTTCTTCAAATTTTCGCTTATTTCTGCATCTCTTTTCACTTTTATTTTCTAATATTTTTATCAAAAATACAATGGCACATGACTTAGAAAACTGTATATTCACAAAATAGAAAAAGTTCCTTTATCACCAATTTTTCGTAATTTTCCACGAACACTTTTCGTCATGGTTTGGATGACATTCAAATCAATTTTTTTTTAATTGTGTTTTGATTCTATTGATTAATTGTTCTTGATTTATAGCTGTCCAGCCTCTACTATACATCTGCTGAGCCAATATTCCCCAGCAATCTTCGATTGGTCGAGCTTTTGGAACATTTGGTGGGTTGGCATATTTTGGCACAGATGGTACTTTTTGTTCATTCAACCAATCTGTTGTTTTATTGGCATAATGTGAACTAGCTAGGTCCGGCTAAAAGATATATTTATCATCAATATGATATTTATTGATAAATTTCATCAATTTTGGTAAACATTTTCCAATATAGACGTCGACATCAACCGCTGGTGCTTTCGTTGTTCCAGTGTATGGTGCTGAAATGCCTTTGCTGGATAATGCCAACCAGACCAATATTTTAGGTTCGAATTTTTGTTGTGATTTGTACTTTACACCTGGTGGACTATTTTCTTTGTCAGAAGAATAAAATCCGGCGTTTCCGGGCATATCAACGCCTGAAAATGTAAAATATTTTTCGTCGTCAACAATGATGAAAGTTTCGGAATCTATGATTTCTCGACGTAAGTTTCGACACTTGCTTGGCATTTGTTCCAGCTATTTTTGACTGTATTTTGGTGCACGTTGTCGCTTGTAATGTTTTAAGCCCAGTTTCTTCAAATTTTCTTGAATACAGAATCGTCATTAGAATAGAGCTTGAGACTTTGCGAGCAGGGAATGGTCTTTTTTGTAGAGGGCTTTACTCTGCAATGCACAACATTTAAGTCAGGGGTAGTTTCTTTTTAAAAAGGGGTAAGAAATTGGGCGTACCTTTGATTGCTCTGACGGTACACTGTAGGATCTTATAATAGATACACCACGGGATAGACCATGTGTTCCTCTACGAGCTGATACATATGCCGCTTTTGGGTCTGAAATCGCCGTGAGTTTTGTAGGATGAGAACCTTTAGCATTATTTCGAAAGTTCGACCACTGTTCAAGCTCATCAACGTTCAAAAATATCCGTATTTTAGAAACGCTACCGTTTTCGTAGTTTTGCTTCCGAACGCAAAAGGGTTTATTGACCGTTTCCTAAACGCTTGAGGGTTTACCGGCTGTACGGTTTCTTAACATACCCTTCCGAATTCTAAAAAGGCGTTTTTTATAAACCCAAAAAGGTATCGAAGTTGGATTAATAAATTGTGATGGTATCAAACTTTGGATGAAAAGTCCATAGGTTTTCTGATAAATCCTTTTGGTTTTCTAATAAACCCAAAAGGGCTTTATTCTCGCTTAAAATACTCTACGACTATTCTCTTAAATAAATGAGTTTATTGCCATACGGAAACTGGTATTTTAGAAAGTGGTGAGCAGAATTTCATCTTTATTGCAGACCAGATTAAAGAGCAATGTTATTATTTTTATATTGCGCTGTATCTCGTTTTTGAGAAGTTAGAATCGAACTTGACGGTCCGTCCACATCTTACGTTTGAACTAAGACCGAGACATATGTTTTTGAAAGCTTATCAGAGGACACCTGACACACGGTTGAGACCGTCTGAGCATCTGCTTCACCGTTACTATTGACATTAGTTTGAAAAGAAAAATGAAAAAGATCACTATGACCAAAACACAGCCCTGTCTCCTAATACAAGAATAAGAGAATGATGTATCTCGTCTCGCCGTATGTCAAACAATAAAAAATTGAACTGGGGTGCATATTTTTAAAGTCGAGACATGTATAAAGTAGGGTTTCCGCAACTCTGAGTAATTCTTTATAGGCGACTTATAGCAATTTCCTAGAAGCCCTAACATCGGTTTTTCACTGGTGTTTTTAAAATTTTTCTAATATTACATTTTAGTAACCATTCGAATTATGTAAAAAACGTGCGAGTTATCTAAAAATTGAACATCATAATAAAGTTAGTTTTTTGCGAAAGCTTGTACACGTTTGTTCTCGAAAAAGATGACCTTAGAGCTGTTTACTTCCATTTTTAATTAAATCAGCCGCGCACTCAGCCATGGCTATGAGTAGTATATTCGTATTTCCAGATACTATTTTTGGTAAGATACTTGCATCAACAACCCTCAAACCTTGGACACCTTTAACACGTGTGTCTGGCGTTACAACTGTTGTCGAATCTTGTTCTCTGCCCATTTTATATGTTCCAACTGGATGATAGATAGTGATACTAAATTTTCGTATATATGATTCCCATCTTTCATTTTGATCTATCTCAACGTCTATTTCATTCATTTCACAAATGAGCGATGGATATATTTTTTCGACAAGTTTACACCCACTAACCAGCCTTTCAACATCTTCGTGTTCGGTTAAATACTTTGGATCGATTAAAGGGTGTTGGAATGGATCATTGCTCGCCAGTGTTATTCCACCATGCGATTTTGGATAGAGAAGTGTGGGGATGCAAACAGTCAGCCAATATTGACCTCCCGTTTGTGGATAAATTTTCATGTATTTTTTAAGATGTTGCTGGTATATTTTCGGTTTATAATTGAAATTTTTAAATAAATTTTCGTCAGCAGTTAACGGACAAAAATGAATTTGAGTATCAGGTGATTGGTTGAGCAAAACCAATATCAGAATAGTAATTCGTACCATCGATAATGTGCTAGAAAAGTGTTTTATTAAAAAACAATGAGGCTAGACGCGGTGGTCCCATTAGTTTTATACGGTTTTCTTCAGAAAGTAGAAGGAAGAAGCTTCAAAGGATAAATCTTTCACAGTTTAAATATGAGACTGTTGTCCAAAACTCTTCTGTCTGAAGGTCAATCTTTTATGAAAATTGACTTAATGGTAAAGCTCATGTCCCATTCTCAGGAATCAGAGCCATACTCAAGAAATTAATTGGGAATTAACCTCCTTTACATGAAGGTTTCTGAATTTAATAAGTTAGTTTCTCTTTCTGCGCATGATGTAAACACATATCAGGTACATATTTCCACAGTAAAGTGAATGTCAGGTATTTATTTCCACAAACAGTATTGTTTATTCTGTCTGTCTGTCTATATTTGTTAAATTATTGTTAACTTAAATCTATTATGCATACTGACCAAAAGGAGACAAAACCAATAAAGTTACGAATATATTGAATTGCGTATTACCAGTTTCGTAACATCTATGAGATTTAGATCTAACTAGTAATGATCACAAGCAAGTGGGAAGTAGGGGTGTTAATTTAGTTTTATTGTTCATTTATAATAACGGATAAATATAAATGAATCATTTACTTTTATAAAATAAAGATAACTTTTCTTTTCGTTTATTTATATTTATCTTTTAAATATAAATGACAAATTTATCTTTATTTTTTAAGTATAAATGATTCATTTACATTTATTTTTCAAAGTAACACTAAATTAACACTCCTAGTGGGGAGGCACTAATAATAGTAGTTATTATTTCGTATAGATAAAAAACAGAAGAAGAAGAAGAAGAATACCCCGCCTTGCGGCTACCTTGCGGTGTAGGGTGCTGTCAGAAGACAGTTTCATTAGCCCGATACTTTTCCTACAGCTGATGATCTTGGAGGAAGTTCATACATTCCTTTACTAATCACCACATTGCTGATAAAAAACAGGATATAATCAACAACAAGAATATAAGAAAAAAAGAAATCGGAGTTCTTGTAATCACTCGAATAATAGCATAGAAGTTAGACTAGTTAGTCCTTCTCGGACTTTTGTAGCGTCTTTCTAGGCCGAGTTATTCGCAAATCTCTTAAAGGATTTCGAGTCAGCCGGATCTCTAAAAGTAAAATGGCCTTATCTCAGCCTAGAGATTTGTTAGAAGGCTTAAGGACGCCTCATTCTGCTCTGAATTTGACGCTCTGTCGATACAATGTGCTTGGGACAAAAGCGATTTCCAGAAGGCTCTTGAAGGTTTCTCAGGGTTCTGGTTTTATGAAAAACCTATTTGGAAAACTCCAAACCCTTCAGCATTGCTTTTTACCTAGAAAACCATAATAGCAGTTCCCTAGGTGGAAATACCACTGAGTTATGGGCTCATCATCTGAAGAATTTTTTGAAAAACTCACAGTTTTCCAGTCTTATCCTAATTTCTCCTAAAAGGAAAAACGTTGTCAAAAAAACGAAACATATTGTTGTGGAGCAAAGCGAATCTTCTGGCGTATGAAAGAAGTCTGTAGCTCTCATGGCAAAAACTAGATAGCATTGCGCGGTGAGAACCTCAAGGTTCGAGCGATCAGTGTTTGATCAGTTACAAGAGTTTAAGTCTTGAAGAAAAGTCATCGAATGACAAGTGCCTAGATGTGCTTCGCGATGCTGAATCCAAAAATCGCATCGATGAGATCGAAAAATGAAAAGATCAGGAGATAATCGGGAATTTTCTGAAAAATCGGTTTTTCAAGGTTTTTAACGCCTTCACAGTATTTTGAAGTTTTTGACATAAAAACTCGGTCAACTCGAAAAAATAAGGACAGATTCGTGATCAGCAGCGTCCGATGAATCAGAATACTCGTTTGAAAATTCAAAAAGCTTTTCCACTTGATTTTCGAATTAGTGGCGCCTTATTATCAGAATCACTTACGGGGTCTGTGTCTCTCGTTATAATTTAAAATCATTATCAAGAAGAACGAACGAGAAAACTTTGCTATTGTTAGAAAAAACGAATATCTGCTATATATTTATTTTAGTAATAGCAAAAAGCTCTCATTCATCAAATAAAAACGAAGAATCATCTCCACAGTTCAATCTTCCGTCGAGAAATAGTTAATTGAAAGTTTCTCGGTTTAATTCCATTCCTAGTAAGTTATACGTGACATGAAAATAAATTTTGTTATTAAAAGGTTATTTATTTTAAATAAATAGACTCTGAAGATATTTGCTTTTTTAGCATCTCCTTTTTAAACACAGTTCAGGAGCAGCTTTGAGCTTTCGATCTAGCCGAAAATCTCTGATATGAAGAGAAGTTTAGTTTTCGCCTTCAATCTTATACTTTTATAATTGTACTTGTTCAATTTTCGCCAGCTCGACTTCACTTTTTTATACACATTTTTCAGATAGTCCACAAATCGATCTTTTGTACAACAGCTGTATTTTGATAACGAATCAGCGTTCAGAGTCCAGCCGCTTTTCATTTTATAGAGAAATATTTAATCTACTCAGTTATCTAGTTGCAATTTTAGATTAATTTGTAGCTTTATTGCAATAATTTTTTGAATAAAAGCGAAAAAAGAGGACCGTTAGCTGGACATGCCACCAACAACAAGTGTTCTAGTATTAGTGCAACTGAGTTGCTGTATGTCACATCTAAATCTTGAAGGCTCAACGTCTTTCTGTAGTTGTGGTTCCACTAAGAATCGCATACTAAGTGATATACTACTTACAGTTTGTGTTTATCGTTCAACGAAAGCGTTTCACTTACTATCACACAAATACCATCCCAAGCAAATATAACCTATGAGAAAAATTTAGATACATTTCGTCTACAATCGGATGATACACGACTAGTTGCCATCTAGATTACTAATTGGAAAAGGGACTTTTAACTAGATGCGTCTGCAGGTACATCCAGCAATAGTTAAATCGATCGATTATCGGGCGATAAATCGATAGTTGCAACTAGAAAAAATCTAGCAATCGCCCATTTACTAGATTTCCACTGTCGTTACTCAATAGTTACAATCGAGTAAAAAACTAGTAATCTAGATGAATCGGACGATACTAGATTTCTTTTTTTACACTTGGGATGATAGTGTCCATTCTGGTCATATTGTATTCGAGAATTTTTCTCCATTAATAAAAAGTGTCAAATAATTAATTCCTTCTTGTAATGAACGCAGACGACATGAAGACTTCCGCTTCGCCGCAAAGTTGGAAACTTGCACATTTTCGAGGAGGATTGGAGGATCGAAAAGTTGCAAAGTTGGAACATATATATTTTTCGAGGACTGGAGGATTGACGGATTGAAAAGTTGCAAAGTTGAATCCTGTATATTTCTGCAAATATTGATTAGGGTTCACTCATCTATTTTCAACATGTACCTTTTTTATCGGAAAAATAAGTAAGCCCCTCCCGTAACAGAAGATCGCCAGGTCTTCTATTTTGTACCGCAAGTGGAGTTCTAAAGGGTGGCCTTCTATTGCGGTCAACTTTTCTCGCGTGCTAGTAGTTCAACGGTAACCTCACGTACTTAAAGTCCGTCCCGATGACCCGAAAAATTTATCAGGTCACCCAAGACAATTTTCGGGTCATTCGGGCAAGTTTTGAAAATTCCGTAGCACTTCGGGTCGAGTAGGGTTCGGGCCCACATAGAACATCTTGATTCGGATCTGGTCGGGTTCCCGTAAAAAGGTCTTTGGGTCGGCTTCGGATCATCCACCTAAGACCCCATTCGGTCTTTGGAACAGATATATTTTTCGTGGACGAGTAAAGGGTTGAAAGATCGAAAAGTTGCAAAGCTAAATCATATATATTTTTCGTGGCGGATTGAAAAGTTGCATCACATATGTTTCGGTACTCACTCTCATGCTCCTTCCCCCCTCACCCCCAGTCAAAACTTCAACTTCTGATTTTCAACTTTGCAACTTTTCAATCCGTCAATCCTCCAGTCCTCCATGAAAAGGATATATGATTCAACTTTGCAACTTTCCAATCCTTTAATCTTCCAATCCTCTCCGGAAATATACATGATTCAACTTTGCAACGACGAGGATATTTCCTTATTGCGCATGAACTTTGGTGCAAAGTGTAAGTGTCCAACCTATGTGAACGCATTTCACAATAAAAATCTAAAACTGTTAAGCTAAACAGCTAAAATAAACCTTTTTATAAAAACAATGGACTCTGATTTGAATAGCCGCATATTAAAAGTCTAACGAATAACTAGGAGGAAGACGCTTTTACAGTCTCAATTCAGCTATATTGCCAGTATTGTCAACTGCGTTTCATATTATTTATCCAATGTAGGTTAATATCGTTTTGCTTATTAACGAATGACATCGTGATATAATTTATTATTGAGTATATCCACCTGCGCTGTATAAGAACGAAATCAAATTTTGTAAAGGTAAAAAATAATGTACTCAAAGAATAAAGTAAATTTTTATATAAACCTAGGTTGGACAAACAATATGACATTTAGCTGATAAACTGATAGCATAGCTTGAGGGTGTAAAAGCTAACTGTACTCTGTTCTATAAATGTTGACAGAATTCAATTGTTCTCATTATTCAACTTTGAGCACTTTCTTTCCAATTATATCTTCAAATTCTTATTTTTGACATGGATAAAAATTCAGAAATACAAATGACAAATGGCTATGTAAAGCAAACGATTGAAGCACCAACAATTGTTTATTTTGCTGCTTCATTATTCAGTTATCAGGAACTGGCTGGAAATATCCTTCTTGCAGAAGCAATTGAACGGGTTTCTCAAGGACGTTATAAAATTATGCTTCCTCAAAATGATAAACAAGACTCTGATCATGGAAAAGATATTCGTGATCATAACTTTGCTTCTATTGCAAAATGTGATATGATTTTGATCAATTACAATGGTACAGAAATTGATTCAGGTACTGTTGTTGAACAACAATTTACTCGTGACCTTGATATGCCAGCTGTTATAGTTCGAACGGATTTTCGTCGAGGTGGCGATTGTAATTTGCCATTTAATCTAATGGCCGGATATTATCCAAGAACGGAACTTGTAGAAATTAATGCAATGTCCGAATTGAAAATTGCTGATGCACAAGTTGCAAAACATCTTTCGATAGATGATCGAAATAAACAGATTCAAATTCAAATGGCCGATTCAATTGCACGAAAGGTTCTGGTGGCGCTAGATAATACGATTACAACATCTCCACTTATGCCCGCTGAACATCGAAAACAAATTCATGAATGGACGATTACGAAAATGGGAATTGGACCGAAGTACGCAGCAGACATTCTTGCAAGTCTGAAAGAACAAACCGTACGTGACTTCAGTTCACGTGTTTATCAGTAAGACTTTTGTTTCATTCTACTGAAATATTGAAGAGGGTTATCCAACTTAGAGGCTCTCTTTTAGACGAAGAGAGAAGAAGTCATGGGGTGAAAAGCGCCACTTGACACGATAGTTTTGCAAAATGTCATAAAAATCCAGAATTTGGGGGTGATTTGTGTTGTTCTCGGCGCAGTTATGAATTTATTTTTGATAGATAAGAATAGCCAAAACTAAGCTGTTTTGTGGGAAAATGGTGGAAAAAGTGGCAAGGAGGAGAGTTTGATACCATGAGTTTAATGTTAAGGATCATCTTTTTCATAGTTATTTATAAACTAAGTTTGGATAAAAGTTTGAACAGAAAAAATCGTTGAAATCTCAGAGAACATCCTTTATGACGAAAGGAAAGTGGTGATAGACAAAAAATCGAAGCGCACCGCTAACATCATCTGATGAGCTTATTTAGCTCATACAGTGCCATCGTCTTAATCAACGCTTAATTGATCTACTGTTAACTGTAAACGCCCATGAAGCTTTTGATGTGTCCAAGAGCATTGAGCCTTTTGGTCACTTTCCAAACGTCAAAAACTTGTTTGGCCATGTTATTTGTCATCAGCGTACCCGATCACATATATCTTGGCAAACCCTACGATGAAACAGAAAAAAAAGATCTCGACGTTTCTGAGAGAAACCAAGGTTTTCAATGAAACGGCAACTAAAGGTCAAAAGAGAATATAATAGAGAAAGTTTATTAAAAAACGTACTAACTTCAGGTACAATATTAAAGTTTTGTACTGACTACAGCTTCAATTAGAAATATTTTCTATGCTTTTTCACGCTATTTTTTAATGAAAAAACATCTGAGAAAAAACTTTCTTTCAAAAAATAAATCGGTAATAAACCGGTGAATACCGGCCAATTGAAAAATTTAATCGGATCGGAGCAGTTGCCAATCAATCGGTCGATGATGTTACAACTCTGTAATAACCTATCTCACTTTTGTTATGAGATCCAATTCCAGCCATATGTCTAACTAAAATTCAGGAACACACGGTGGGGAAGAGCTTAGAGAAACAAACATCAAAACTTAAACAAAGATGGTAGAAAAAAGTAGTTCATTTTTTCACTTCTGTGACAAGGAAAGTCTGTGCAAGATTTAAGATTATTCGTATTTAGCGTCTAATAGATCCTGTACTTTGTCGAATAAAGAAAACTCTTTCACAATTTCGAAGTTATCAAGAGAAAAGAAAACCTCAGCTTTGTTTGAGACAAAAAATTGGAAACGTTTAGTTTCTTAATACACTAGTTGAGTATCAGACCATAAACAAAAATGATTGTTATAAAGTCAAGTTTAAATATCTAAGAGTCTGATTATTTAAAAGTGTGAAACAATTAAACCTTACGCGTTTATATATACTACACCGTGACTTGACTGTACAGCAGAGTTCTGTGGGTTTAACTGGATCCGGATTCCGAACCCGCGGATTCGGGTTAGGAATTAGGATCACGAAAGTTTTTTTTCGGGTTCGGGACGGGTTTCAGTTCATTTGAACAGGATTGGGATGGGTTTGTTTTCTTTTAGTTTGATATAGGGGAAGATAAGAGACAATTGTAAATAAATAAAAACAAAGATGATAAAGAAGATAAGGAAAACGGACAGGTGTTTCTCACTAGACGCACAACCGATCAAGTGAATTTTATTTTTGTACCTCTACGAGTAGAAATTTACTAATGTTAAAATGAAAGAGAACACTACTTCACTAGAAAAAAAATATTTGTACTGCATTCAGAGGGACAATGAATGATGTCCACATTTAGCCTTTGAATTAACATAAGGAGAAAAGTGAGTAAATTGGAGAAAAAAGGTGATTCTGTCAGACTTATTCAAGCCGTTCCACGATACTTGATTTATCGCTATTTTGACCGAGGACTAGGGCTTGTCAAATATTCTTGCGCATCGTATCAATGTTCGTCTAAACTAAATTGTAATTGATTTACGTAACTTATTAGAGGAGTGAAAACACTCGACAGGTGCTGTCAAAAATTTAGGAAAATGTTCTGAAGAAAATCGTGAAAAAAAGTTTCTATATGGTAAACTAATATTCGTTTCAAAATTTTTCTTAAATTTTTGACAATACGTCTCGTCAAAAACAGAAATTGTTTGAGGTTGTTGAGTGTACTGAATACGAAAACGCACGCTTTTCCTACTCTACATGAACTCTATTTTTCCATCTATGATATGCTTAAAATTGCTTCGTTCTCGTGATATAGGAGGTGCCAGAGATGGCACCACAAATTCACGATTCTCATTAGGTGCAGAATTAAGTTTTTTTCATCTATAGAAACCAACTTTAAAAACTATCTTTTGATATGAATTTATGCTTCAGAACACGGGCTATCTTTTCTGCCCCATTCACATATTTTAAAATCACTCCGTCGACATAGGATTCTAGGTTTACACGTGAGGTCGAATAACCCGATTTTCTCTCTGTGTGAAAATGTTTGTGGCTTAAGTTTTATATAAAATATAGACCACACTCGGATGTATTTAGACAGCAGATTTTGGGTTTCTGCATGATCCTTTTACCTGAGATAATGCTCAAAAATCTGTTTTTCAGAAAACTCTAATTTTCGAGACCGGCCCGTATTTTAAATGAATTTCTGACCGTTCCTCTTTCATCATAAAACCTTGGTTGTTGCATAGATCGATAGAGAATTGTATTGACAATATTTATCGAGAGAAAAAAGAAGAACAGTTTATTTTTTCCTTCTTGTTATTGACTAATTACCGTTAGTTTATCCTACTCTGCTCTCTTAAACTCTTACTTTCTTTAATACTCTTAGTCTCTCTCAAACTTTATTAAATAAATCCAAGCAATACTACATCTGATAGAAAAAATTATTACAAATAAGTCAAACATACAATGCTAAAAAAAAGCTAGGACAAAATTTTTAAGGAACATTCATCCACTTGAGAACCAATATCCGCTAGATTCAGGTAGACAGTGATTGTTGATGTCACAGATTTATACGT